TATGTTTAAACCACCTGCCTCCAAGGACATCGATTACATCCATAGCTACTTCACCCCCTATCTTTTGCTATTTAGTTTTAATTTAATATTGTAAATTTGTAATAGTATATAGTATAAACTAAAATATAAAAGGGATACATGAATTATTTTAGGGGTAAAATAGAAATTTTGAAAGGCAAATGGGGCATAACAAATCGGGTTTTTTTCCGTCTCTAAGTGCGATTAAGTCTTAATATGAAGCTGATAAAAAGATTAGGGAAACCGGTAACGCAATGCAGGATCAAACTCAAACGAAATACAAATCTGAAAGAAGGAACCAAGGATGAGAGATACCATGTGCCTGAGATTGCATCCAACAGTCAGTTCTGCATAATAACTGTCTACATTTGACAGGAAACAGTAAGGGGCCTCCTTTCCCACGAAAAAATTTCTAGTTTGATTGCAGCATGCTCTTAATGTCATCCGATATCTGGGGAATCTTGTCCAGACTTTCAATTTGCAAGGGAATTTTGGTCACCACTGCACGCCATTGGGCACGTGATTTGTTCACAATAACCTAAACATTTACAAGGTAAACAATCAAGACAGATGGGTTTGGATATGACTAATATAAAGCGTGAATAAGCAAATAAGCACTCTCAGTAGTCAGTACAGTCAATGAGATGTGAAAAGATGATTCTTCTGTTTCTAACAAAAGAAAAACCAACCTGGCTGGAAAAGAGCGAGTTCGGAACCAGAACCGGAAATTTCTCAGAGTTGAGTAATGTTGTGTTTGTAAGTCCCATTTTCCACCACTTGACCTTCTATAGATCCTGCCTGCGGCAAGAAAATGTATACTTTCACACCAAAAATGAAGAAATAACAGAACAAACCCTAGCATATCAATATCACATGTGATAATCACTAATTATCCAAGACCGCAAAAATACATGGCAATTACATTATATGGGAACAGTTCCTAGTAAGATGGAACCGGACACCTCCAAAAAGGTTGGGAAATATGAACTTCAGCAGATAAAAGATTACGAGTTAAAGAAAACAAATCCATCTTTGCCTGTGGACTTCAATTATGAAAAGCTGATCGGATCTATAAGTATTGTTTGAAACAGGAAAATTATTTTCCTACACTAAAAGAAAAATCTCAGCAGATTTGTGTTACCTTTATTGTATCACCCACTGAAAAAGGTTTTGAAAACTGCATGGACAATCCACTGAGCACATTTCCAAGGATGTCCTTGGCAGCAAAAGCAGTAGCCACCCCTATAATAAGTTGAATTTATAGTAAGTAGAAATATGAAGTTTCAAGAAAAGCAACTAGGCATCATCCAATTTTAGCATCAAAACACAAAAAATTAGCACTTGTAAACCTTGCATATTCTTCAAAACATTCTAACAATAATGATTGATAATTACAAATACCACAAGAAAAGTCCTATCTGAGATATAATAGATAAGAGCACTTATGATTTATACCATATATTTTAAACAAATCAAAAGAAAATCCGTTGCTACATAAACTTAGCATAGTACAAGCATGCAAAAGCACATTTAGGGCAGGATAAAAATTGTTAAAGAATATGTAATAGACAGATATTCAAATCTAAATTGTACTTAACAGAATACACGTCATTAACAATAGACTTAAGTCTAGCCTCTGCTATAGGCTCAGAACAATCAAAACATTTAAAACATGAAGATAAACATACACAGACAAAAATGTAAGAGGGACTATGGTAAGTTAAAAGTTTATGATAACATAAATGTTGCTTTAAATTCAAACCTAGTAAGCCATGCCAAGAAACCTATTACCATCAAAATATATTTGAGGATGATATCAACATTTAATTTGAAGAAACTCTCTGGCACCATTAAATCTAATTATCATAAATGAACTGATAAAAAAGAGAACATCATGCATTTAGCAGAAAACACCTACCTCCTATTCCACCAACTGTCAGAATAGATTGCACAGCAACCCCACATGCCTCTGCTAAAGTCATCAATCCAATAAACAAATAGGCCAACGGATGAAATTTTGTCCAGAGTTAACAACTTTTCCAGACCAATCCCTGCCAAACTCTGAGTAGCCAGTGCATGAGCAAGTACATTCGTTTTCCAACGATGTAAAAACCAGACAACTGATAGTATAGCAGCACCCCCCCCCCATGCCTGGGCAATGTATTCTGATGCAATAGTACTTGGTGCCACCATCATGCCACTACAAGTGGTACCATATTTATCATGCATTGACAAAAAAAAAAATGCAGAAACATGTGAATAAAAGGATGATAGAGTACAATATCCAAATTAAGGTCCACTAACATTTGAGAAAATGCCATGAAGGCAATTAGCTATCTGACTGGGTCTTCTAAAGCTCCCAAGAAGCTTTTCTGTTGAGTTAATCGATTGACGAATATAGCCAAGAGGGGGTGAATTGACAATTAAAATTTTGGTGAAAGATTTTGCAGAAAATTGAAAGAAATTGCACAGCGTTTAGAGTGGTTCGACTTTCTCAACCAAAGTCTACGTCCACTACCTTAGCTATCCATGCTAAGGATTTTCCACAAATTCACTAATTTGTCTTTATTTTGAGGACAAAGAGTAAACTTACAAACCCTCAAGAATTATACCTCAAATTCTTGAGAACACTGAGAACAATACAAATTTGTAAACTTACAAGGAAATCCTCACAAGGTAGATTGTTTGCACAATTCTAGAACAAAGAAAATAACACTCAAGAATGAATACAATTGAGCACAATAAGTGTTCTTGAAAGCAAAATGAATATTGAATGAAAAATAGGCTTGAAATGCTCAAACTTGAGGTTTGATGCTTTCTCTTTGATTCTCTCTCTTGATTCTAGTTGCTTGATGTTTCTTGTTATTGATAAATGGCTTCTAAGCTTGCTTAAATACACCTTGAATCACTTCTGAACGTTGGGGATCATTAATGAAGTTTTTGGAGCCGTTTAAGTGTGAAAACAATTAATATTTCTGCTTGGAGCGTGGGGGGAATCGGTTCCCTAAGTGTAAAATTCAAATATTTCGACCGTTAAACAGTGGGAGGAATCGGTACCCCTGGGGGGATCGGTTCCCTCCGAGCATACTGGAATTCTCGAAGCCAAACCATTCAGGGGGGAATCGGTTCCCTCTGAGCAATCTGGAATTTTTGGCTTTGAGATGGTTCGAAATATTTTGTAAAATCGTTTTGAAATTATTTTAAGTTTAAAACTTAATTTTACACTTGAGTAAGGATTAAAAATGACATTTGAAAGATTTGGAGTAATATTTTGATATTCGAATATACTTAAAAAAATCTTTTTGAAAAATCTTAAAATTCATTTAACTTAATTTGTTATATCGAAATATCAAAATGTTTTCAACATTTTCTCATATGAAACTTCTCATATGAAACTTGATCCCCAAGTAAGCTTCCAGATGGCTGGACTGAAGTTTGAATTGCATAATTGTGAAATCTTCTCAAAATCCTGGGCAAGATCACCCAAGCCAATACAGTGCCAGTCAAAGTAAAACCAAATGGAACAACCACATCTTTAAGATACAGATAGGTATCAAGCAACTGTTCAACATGTGGCTTCAGTTCATTAGAGGCTTCTTCAGCCTTTTCCCCAGTACTCTGCCAAGCATCTTTGACTTTTTAATTTTACATTTATTTTAAACAATTTGATAGGTGAAAATAAAGACTGAGATTAACAATAAAAATGTAAAGATATTTATTAAAAAATAAAAAATTAATCTTAACTATATATTTTTATTCATATAACAGTCATAAACATGTGTAAAACTAAAATAATTTTTTATTACATATGAATCCTAACCCATATATAAAGATGAGCATAAGAGCCAAACCTGATTCGATTGGATCATAATTTTTAAAAACATTTTGAGTTCAGGTCGAGTTGGGTAGAATTTGTATAAGTTTGAATCAAGTCAGGTTAAAATTTAGGGTAAAAATACCCGAAAAATCTAACCTAGAAAATAACATATTTATACATTATATATTTAAAAATAGTTATAATAATACCTCTCTTTATATTATTTATTTTCAATTAAGTCTTTATTTTGTTAAATAAAATTAATAATTTTATATTATTTCAATTTAATTCAGGATAAGATTTTATTTCAAAAATCGAATCAAATTTTCGATCAAGTAAAATTATCCTAAACTCGAATCAAGTTAAATTTCGAGTAGATGATATAATATTATCTAATTTGACTCAACCCAACTCATGACGTGTATATATACACACACATTAATGTTTCCTTTTTTATCGGATATTCACTAACGTTCTTTTCCTTAACATTGCAGTTTTAAGAAGTTTCCGAATCGCAGCCCTCCTTGCTCCAAACTTCATCATCCCCAGCCATCTTCTAGCCTAACCCACAAATCAAAACCATTCATAAATATCACAAACCCTTACTGAATCACTCGTATATTCTACGTAACGTTTTCATACACAAGAACCACTGCCATAGCTAAAACCCAAAACCTTCCTTTCCTTTCCTTTCTCTCCTTGCTCTTTATAATTCTTTTTCTCCATGGGGTTTCCAGCTGCTTACCGGGATTTTACCTTACCACAACCCATCCTTCACGCGCTTTCAATACTCGATTTTATCCTTACCCGCCTCAGACTCTCCGATTCCCACCACCGGACATGGTTTGGCCGGAGAACTCGACCCGAAAAACATCCGAATCCGTGCTACTGATCCGGAGAAAGAGCCTTCTAGTTATAAAGTTCGAGGAGCTTGTCGTCGGGGGTGAACCACCGGAGGACTGTGCCGTTTGATTGTACGAGTTCGAGGAAGGGGAAGAGATCAGGTGGTTGAAGAACTGTAGACACGTCTTCCATAGGGCGTGTTTGGACCGTTGGATGGACCATGATCAGGTTACGTGTCCACTTTGTAGGACGCCATTCTTTTAACAATAATTATTTATTTTTAACAGTGGAAAAAAAAGATTCTGAGTTGAATTAAAATAGGTTTCTCATGGAGAAAGTGTGATCCATAACAAATGAGTTTGATTATATTAAAAATAAAGGCTATTTGAGCTTCTTACTGAAGTCGTTGAGCTGGATTAGCTGAATTCTGGGAATGTTGGCCGCTTCTTCCCGTTCTTTTGGAGTGTTATATCCCCAGTTCCCTGTTCACATAAATCCATTTCTTTATTACCAATAATAACAATTTTAACCAAAACTCCATTTTCTATCTATATTAGATAATAATTCCAATTGAATAAATCCGTTATTTATATAAATAAAACAGGCTCAAATGTCCATCATCTGCATCAAAACCAAAAAGGGTTTGGATAAGGCTAAACTACACGAGATTTGATTTGATGACTATTAAATTTATCTGGTACAAAATGATCATCATGAAATTATTTTCAATAAATTCAAAGACTATATATAATTTTTGAAAATTTAATAATTAAAATAATCATTTAAACATAATTAAGTGACCATGAATATACTTTATCCAAAACAACTTTCATTTCTCGAATTTGGAAACTTCCAACTTGGTCTCTAATTTTTATGTTTTCAACTTGAATTTTGATCATTTTGATGGTGTGACTCTCTAATGTTGTGCCACGTGACAGTCTCAAAGCGACTCATCAAAAAGTCTAAAAATGGAAAGTTATCGAATTTGAAATTAATGTGAACAAAGAGACCAAATTGAAAAAAGTAGCCAAATTCAAGCACTAAAAGTTACTTTTGTCCCTTTGGATAAAAATATCCAGTGGTTTATAGATAAATTTGACAATATGGGACTCTGCAATATCTGAATTCAGAGAAAACGAAACGAATAATATGGGATATCTGATCTTTTATCATCTATTGCCATCAGGTCAAATGCCATTAACTAAAAAACTCAAAACTTGAATGTTTACCTAAATACAAGTTCCATCCATCTAATTCTGGCTCTTTGATGACATTCTTCAGGGTTGCAAGCCGATCTTCCACAAAGCTAGTAAAATGAGAATGGAATTTGTTTCAGTAAATTTAGAAACCAAACAGGCATCATAATAAAAAGGTAAAATATGCCAATGATAAGCATTAAGCAGTGAACCTACTGTAATTTCATCCCCTGGTTTTCTGATCTCAATTGGAGTTGCTTCAGTACTTTAACCTTGGGCCTGATAAAATATTAAAATACCCTTAGTATTGTAAAGCAAAGAAGGAACATAATTCTCCAAATGCTAATAAAAGACTAACCCGGTTCCCAACCCATATATCCTTTCAGCTGGGATAGTTACTCCAGCAAGTTCTCTTAACAAAGCATCTGCAAACCGGCTCTGAAGTCGGGCAGAAAGAAAGATAACAGTCAAAGATGGTGAGCAACCAAAGAAATAATTGACTTGTAAAATAAAGTAAAACATAAAATTTGCACTATCTGTTAGTTGGGGACTGGAACTACGAGAGCTGAAAAAGACTTGTGACTGATCTCAACTTAGATACTTTCATACTTGTGACTGATCTCAACTTAGATACTTTCATACATTCAAGTTCTTTTACCCCTTTCTTCTTTTCTTTTTCCTTGATTATCATTTTATATTCAGGAGATTGTTGGATCAAACTACTTATAATAACTTATATCTACAATGTTTGCCACTTCATATTGATAGCAAACTTTTTCTCTTGTTCTTGTGTGGGTGTGGGTGTGAGTGAGAGGGAAGGGAGTGAGAGACAAACAAAGCAAAAGAAACTCACAGCACCTGCTTTGTGGTGACTATATATATAGTTGAGCTTGCGAATTTAAGGGCATCAGGAACACCTGGATAAAACCTGCAGCATAGGCATCTTGTATTAATATATGATACTCAACTCAGTGCTTGATACAAAGAATGGCAACTAATATTTCAGTCTTGATGCATGTAACAATTGATTTACATTTGAGCCATAAATTTATGAATTGATTTATTAACAATTTCGATAAGCATTTGCACATAAAACACATTAAGTTCATTGCTTATTGCCTATAATAGAAACATGGCATCTCTGGTATAACTTAACAAGCTCTGATTAAAGTACCTATTTGCGCCAATCCAAGTAGCCAAGTCGTTATCCATCCATGCATCCCTAACCTTTCCAAAAAGATCGATTAAAGCGTCCCTGTTTTCATCCCATTCTTCCATGATTACTGGTTTTATTTTTGACCAGTTCTCTAAAATGTCCTCAATAGTTAGTCCCTCTGCAACCTTGCAAATTGAACCTCGGACTTTAGGTTCAGAGTAGTATTATAGAAAGAAATCTAATTAAGAATAAAGTAAACGAATGATACTGAATCTTAGATACTCCATATTGAAAAGATCGCTTCAAGGAAGAGTCAGTGGCATTGTTTATACACCCACCGAAGATTTCCGAATAGAAGGTAATCTACTCTCCAGCAATAACCTCACAAGTAGCAAATTCTCATACCCTGTTTCGACCACAGGTCGCACCTGCCACATTATAAACATTAGTTTCAACATAGCAGTCTTTCACAATTCCAAAATTTAACTGAAACAAAAACTGTCACCCCAAAAATGAATGGCAGTTCTTTTAAGTTACAAAATTGTGTAGCTTATGTCTTATCAGTTCAGAGATGCTTCAAAAGTTGTGGGGACTGCAAGGTGAAGTGCAAAAAGATAAACCTCACATAAAATTTGAAAGAAATATAACGACTTGGTAAGAAATTGACTAGCACCTTCTAATACAATAAACAACAAACAATCAACAATCAACCATCCCTTGATAAAAATAAGCAACCTATGTTACTTCGACCCAGAAGCTGAGTGTAGCAGAAGGTAACATGCTCAATTTTATCCAAGTTTCTCCATGTATCTGGAAGATCATACTTAGGGTGTAACCAAGTTGAGACCGTCTAATACAATAAGCAATAAATAACAAAAATCAACCATGCCTGATAGCAATAAGCAACCCATGCTACTTGGACGCAGAAGCTGAATGTAGCAGAAGGTAATGTGCTCAATTTTTTCCAAGTTTCTCCATGTATTTGGAGGATCATACTTAGGGTGTAACCGAGTCGAGTTCAAGCGGTTAGAAACTTGAGATCAAGCTTAACCTGAAATTCAAGGCTCGAAGCCTGGTTCGAGCTCGATTGAGTTGTACTTTCAAAGCTCAAGTTCAATTTGAGATCAAAGTTGAACTGCTTGTGCTTGCTCAATTAGCCTCAATTACGCGTGTTCACCAAGTAAAAAACAGGTTCAATTCTCGTGCTTGACGTCAAACTGGATAATTTATGCTCAAGCTCAAGTTCATATTGAAAATTTTCAATACTTCGGAGAAAAAGAAGAATCCAAGTAACACAGAAAGCAACCATCCAAAGGAGGTGAAGAATTAAGATCGGGTGTAACAAGGTAAAACCCGTTAGTCCTCCAATTTTGAAGTTAAAATTCTTTGTTTCCACGCACCATTTGAAAATTCCACGCAGCGTCAAAAAATGAAACAAAACGATAGAAAACCTTAAAAACTAGAACAAACAACAAAAGCTAAGTCTAAATCCAGTCTTTAATATTGAAGAACATTGCATTTTGATTTCTTGATATTGACATGCTAATTTCGAGTTCCAATTCAAAGTTCTTAGAAAATCAAGAAAAACTGAATCACTCAACAATCAAAGGGGGAAAAATCAAGAGCTTACAATATGCATCTGATCAACAATCCAATCTTCCATTGCCGTATCCACACCGTCAAACAAATCCGGCCATCGCACTTTAGCAGCCTGTAAATATGAAAAAATTTTAAAAAACGAGGAATCGGATCGTAAAACCAATGGCGATGAGAGTAGAGCTGAGCTGACCTTGACGGCAGAGATGGAACTTTCTCCACAGCTATCGCAGAGAACTCCATCAAAGTCCAAAGCGTATAAATCTCCCATTTTTCCTTTTTATTTTCTCGCGTTTTCTAGGCTGTGATTCTGGAGATAATCTACAGGAAAATAATTTTATTACGCCCGCCACTCATCTGTTTGTAAATAATATAAGGACACAAATGAAATGCCAAATGCGGCGTTTGCTTCCAATCCAATTGCAATACGACATGTGTTTATGTATTGTTTCTCGTTCTCTTTCAGCACACCCATTATCTGAAAGGCAATCTTGAAAAAAAAAATTCCCTATAAATATAATTACCGATATCCGGTAAGTAATTGATTACTCTTGACGTAAACACGTCTCAATTCAGTTAATTTTATTCACAAACGTTAATATTTGAATTTTTATTCTAGGACAATTTATCTATTAAATGTGGTTATTTTTCTTTTAAGAGCGATTGAAGTATGACACATTTTAAATAAATTTTTACAATTACATTATTGTTTTGTGATATTATCTTAGTTAATTTCATATATTTAGAATTTTATTTATTTTATAAGAAATAATCGCAACATTGATAAATTTTGATATTTTATAATTTTATTTAATTTAAAATATTTTTGAGATCTCATTTTTTTAAATGTAACACATGATCTGTACATTTTTTTGGGACGGATCTACCTTGGCTTTACTTAAGAGATCTAGTGTCTCATTCTACTAAATCAACTAATTATTGATAAAATTAAATTTTATTTGATTATAGATAAATTATTTTTAGTCACCCAACTTTTTTTTATTTGTTTAGGTAACTTTAAACATTTTAATTTTATTACTAAATTTTAAAAGTCTATTTATTTTGTTTACTTAACTATTAAGTATCTAACGTTACTTGCATTTTGAAAGATTTTCATTTATAATTTTCTTTTAAAAAAATTTAATCTCATTCTTCCTGATAACTAAAATTCTTCTTTACTGATGTTCGGTCTTTATCGGTCATCATTTACAATATATTTAGTATCAAAATATTTTCATTTTTTAATAATTTTTCATCTTATAAAAAGTTATATGTAAAGATTTGCCGATATTATAACTCAAGTTTTCTGCCGCTTGAATAAGTGCTTTTCAAATTTATATATTTATTATATAATTATGTATTTAATAGATATTTTATTGAACGTACTAAAAAATAATTTATAAATAAATTTATTTTTTTCTCTTATAATTTAATTTTTTTCGATACTTATTATTGAATATCTAATTTTTATATTCGGCTGGGGCCACTAAATATCACAAAACGGCCTGCCTGGAAGCCTCTGGGGATCAGTGCAAGGCCGTCGAGCCAGGCTCCGAAAAGAAATGCTCCTGGCGGTTCAAGAATGGCCGTATGATCCGGAGAGGAAAGAGATGAGAACCAAGATGAAAGGTCATAAATGCGACAGGATAGCAGTCGAGAAAAGGGAGAATACTGCTAATTTGATGCTGAAAATGCCTGAGATGTTGCTTGCTTATAAGAAACGCAGGTAGGAGAAGAAGATGAAGGAAAAAGAGAAGTCCAAAGATTAATAAATCTTCATGTATTTTATATGGGTGAAGAATAAGAACAAAAAGAAGCTATATCTTGTATTGATGGATTCAATGTTGTTTTTATCTTTTCTTGCCGATAGGAGGATTTTAAATGTTGGGTTTCGATTTTCTGTTCGTTGGGCTAGATTTTTGGAAACCTAATAATATTTAGGGTATATTACACGTTTAGTACCTAAAGCATTTTTTTGTCCCATTTTGATACTTGAACTTTTATTTTTTTTCCAATCATACTTAACGTTTACTTTTTGATTCATTTTAGTATCTCGTTGTTAAAAACTTAATGGCAATGTTATACATGACACTTTTTAAGAACAAATTACATCATTCATTACTCAACTATCTTTTTACTTCTATTTTGGTCACTAAGGTTTAATTTTTTTATTTGATTACTTAACTTTTAAATTACTCTTATTTTAATCACTATAATTTTTAAATTTAATTTTTATTAATAAAATAATAATAATAAATGTCATGTCATAAAAATTATTACTAAAATAAATTAGGATGGTTAACACAAAACAATTTGAAAGTCGAGTAGTTAAATTGAAAAATTTTAAACTTTAATAACTAAAATAAGAGAGAAGATAGGTGACTGATTTTAATCACTATAATTTTAAATTTAATTTTTATTAATAAAATAATAATAATAAATGTCATGTCATAAAAATTATTACTAAAATAAATTAGGATGGTTAACACAAAACAATTTGAAAGTCGAGTAGTTAAATTGAAAAATTTTAAACTTTAATAACTAAAATAAGAGAGAAGATAGGTGACTGATAAATAATACAACGTACCCATAAAAATATCACGTACAACAATTCCGTTAATATTTTAACGGTGGATACCAAAATGAAGCTTAAACTAAACATTATGTATGATTTAAAAAAAAGGTTAGATACCAAAACAGAATAAAAAAAATAGTTTATGTACTAATATTTATGACCGCAAACTTAGATTGCAATCAATAAAAAATAGTACAAAAGACGTCAATTTCATTTCGAAAGTCGGATGCTTTTATTAATAGAATGATAAAAACGAGCAAATGCAACAAAAGAGAAAATTCTTGGCACAAGCTACAACTTTAAACCATTCTGTGATGATCCGACTAGCGTCGAAGTAGACAATGTGAAACCATAAGTCAACTAAACTTTTCTCCTACAATCCTTGAAAAAGAGAGCAAAGAAATTGATTTATGCATGTAATCTAAAACTGTTGCTCACCATTGTTACAACTGTAGACCAAGGAAACATCCCAAAATAAATCATCGGCAGTAAATAGCCTGATCGATATGTGGAGGAATTTGCTTAATTTCTGTCCCAAGTTCTTGTTCAATCCCATACCTGTTAGGAAATATATATATATATAATCAATGAATCATTTCAATTTCAATGTACATTGTCCTAGAAGTTTCAACCCTGCTAGAGATATGATTGCATACAAGTTAAAGCGGTCCTCGTAAGTGATCAAATTCAATGCTAATCCAAGACGACCAAACCTTCCTGATCGACCAACCTGTTCATTAAGTGGATGCCCGTGAGGATTACCAAAAATAAAGATAAATGCTGCAACAACTTAAAATAGAGAAAATAAAATAGCAAACATACTCTGTGAAGGTAGGTTTCAGAGTTCTTGGGGAAGTCAAAGTTTAATAACAACATTCACCGCTTGAATATCTATACCCCCTTGTGAAAAGATCTGCAGCAAGTATACTTACATCTTTATGAAATCATTCTTCATATTACGAGTATTGCAGAACGCTTATTAAGAACAAAACCATTTTCTGCACTAGGGAGTTGATACGAGTGAAACTAAAATTAGAAGAATGACACACAAAACAGCAAAATATCAAAACCAAAACTTCTATATTGCTTAACACGTACCACCATATGCTGGCGCAATCATTCAAGTTCCAACATTCACATAATTAATTAATGCCTTAGTTTAGGATTTTGCAAAAGAGAGACGTCAAAGCTCAAAGTGCGGAGTAGCACTGAAAAAGATAAGCAGTAGAGGGTTCGGGTAGTAGGTTATATATTTCAGCATCTGAAAATGAAAGAGGATGAGAAGAAAACAAATGCCTGCAAGAATATATCCAAAGAAAAAAGAAGCCTACAAGAAATACAGCAAAAGGAGGTCCAACAAACTACACATATTTCCTAGTTAAATTATCAAATTATCCAGGAATATTAGCTCATATGATAAACCCACAGCATAACATACCAGTACAGACGAGGTTCCTGCATGCTCCATTGCGGAAATCATGAAATACCCTGTTACGATGGTCTTGTAGCATCTTTGCACGTATATAAAAGCAAGAATAGCCAAGTTCTGTAATTTTCTTGGCCAACAACTCCACTAGATTTACCGAGTTGCAGAAAATGATTGATTGGTTTATTTGCAGCAGTAAATTATTTAACATATCATGAAAACAAAAGGAAAAGAGAGAATATTAGATAAAAAGTTTATACAAGGGCAAACCTTGGAGAAAAGAGTACTTAAGCAGTGGGCTTTCTGCCTTTCTTCCACAAAAGCATAATATTGTGTAATACCCTTTAGGGTAAGTTAATCCATTAGATTGATAATATAACGTTTTTGTAGATATCTGTCTTTAAAGTCCTTAACAGTAACTGGAAATGTGGCTGAAAACATCAAAATTTGGCGATTTGCTGACAGAAAACGAATCAGCTGCTCGACAGAAGGTTGAAACTCAGGAGACAGAAGTTTATCTGCCTGAAAGAAACCAAAACACATAACATCAAACTGTGCAGATGGAAAATTTAAAACAAGTACACAACAAGACAATCAAGCTGCAACCGGCTTCACTAACTTCACATATTATATCAGTTAAATTTTCCAAAGAAAGATAGAATAGTGGGTTTGGTAAAGATAGAGCACTTTATCTTTAGTTTCTCATATTACTACACTGAAAAATATTAGGAATTGCATTTAAATTCCTTAAGCTAAAAATCCGAAAAATAATGCAGCCAAAACTAATGCTTGGATCATTGGATAGAAAACAGTAAACCATTGTGAAGAGAACGAGGTGCACACTAAGCAGTAGAACTATTATATTGCAGTAAATGCAGTACATGTATGTGTGTCTTGTACATATAGAATAAGATTACGCCATATATTCTAATAAAAAATATTAAATTGTGGTCCAGTGTATCCAACAAACCATCCAAAAAAAATATATATTTGCTGACCAATTTCCTTTGCATGTTCATTGCTCAAATTATTGAGAATAAAGATTATTTCAAAAAAGGTACAGTTGATTTTAAAGAAGTAGAAAGTAAAGAAATTAAGAACTTCAAATAGGTATACTTTTTCTACACCTATAATCTGGCGGGGGGGATGGGGGAGGAAGCCTAGGAGAACTAAGCACACGACTGATCAATGTGCATAAGCACACACTTCTAGCACACGACTAATACTTTCCTGTTTTAGCAAAAAAGAAGTACAAATACTTTATCTACCAGTTCAAATAGTGGCAAACACTTCTAGCCTCCCACCCATGCAAAAAGAACAGCCATAAAAATCATTTGTCAAGATAAATCGA